TGTTTCTCCCTGAAATCTGTATGTTGACATTTAATCCCCAATGTGAATTATTAGGCGATGGGGCCTTTGGGAGGTGATTGCAGCATGCGGGTGGAACCCTCACAACTGGGATTAAGCCCTTACAGGAAGAGATTTGAGAGCTTGCTTCCTCCCTCTACTGTCAGACATGTGAGGACACAGTGAGAAAGTGACCAGCTGCAAACCAGGAATCTGGCTCTCACCAGACACCACATCTGCTGGCACCTTGATCTTGGGTTTCCCAGCTTCCTGAGCTGCAAGTAGTAAGTCTTTGTTGCTAAGCTACCCAGTCATGATAATTTGTTAGAGCAGCCAGAATGGACTAAGACAAACCACCCTGTTCTGGGGGTGAGAGTGGAGGTCACAGGTATGGAGTGAAGTCCCATAAAGACAGAACACAGGCCTTGTTTTCCATGGGCTCACAACCAGGGTCAGAGAGCGAGGTTCCTTTATAATCGAATATGAATTTGTTAGTGATAAAGGTTATCTTAGGAGTGCAGAGTTCATGGGGAGAAACTCACCAGGCTATTTGATCTGGCAGATCTTTTACTTCGGTCTGGTTTGGACAAGGCCTGGAAAGAGTAGCTCAATGAGGGTGCTGATAGCATGGTCAGCGTGAAAAATAAGACACGGAGCATAAAAGGAACTGTGACGAGTGAGTATGCCTGTGAATAGGGAAGACAGCAGAAGAGAAGAGAAGATTGTCTGGGGGAGTTACGGGAGAGGGAATGTCAGGCAGCTTACAGCCAGATTAGGCCAAGAGTAGGGTAAAACTGGGGGCTCAAAATTGCCTGAGGTCCTCACTGTTGGGTGCCTGCTATGTACTTGCATACTCTGAGAGTAAGTACTTTCAACTTAGAGGTGGAAGTGAGGACCTGGCCATCAAGGTGGTGAATGGACTTGGCATTCACAAAAGGTTACCCCAGCACATCTTACATTTTGGGAGGCTTGGAAAAAGAGATGGAGAGGTCAATTAAGACACTTCTGCAGGGATCTTAGATAGGCCTAAATTGGAGCAGAGTTTGGCAGGGGAACAGAAACAAATCATGATAAAAGAGGAAACGTTTATGTTGACCTGCAAAAATGAACAATAAAGAACACTGTCTTCAAACACACATGATTGAGATGCTAATGCACTGCATATTGTGATGGTTAATTTCCATTTTATCTGTCAACGTGGCCACAGTGACCAGACATTTGGTCAAACATCATTCTAGATGTTTCGGTAGAGCTGTTTGTTCAATAAGTTTTACCTTTAAATAGGTGGACTTTGAGAAAGGCAGATTACCTTTTCTAATCAGTTGAAGGGCTTAATAGTGTAAAGATTGACTTTCCCTGTGCAAGAAGGAATTCTGCCAGAAGGTTGCCTTTGGTCTTCACATTTCCCTGGGGCTCTAACCTGCTGGGCTACCCCATGAGATTTTGGATTTGCCAGCCTCTATAATTGTATAAACCACTTTCTTAAAAAAAAAAAAATTAATCTCTCTCTCTCTCTCTCTCTCTCTCTCTCTCTCTCTCCCCCACCCACACCCACCCACCCACACACACACACACACACACACACACACACTGTTGTGCTTTTCTGGAGAATCTTGACTATCACATCTACCATCACTAAGGAAGCTAGAAGCCACCGTCTTAGGTTAAGGGTCTATGTTGGTCACCTAATATCTGTGTAATTCTATTCACGTCTCTGTTTTGTCACATGTAAAATAATATTGAATGATCTTGCTTTCATGCCAAGGAAAATCAATCTGTTCAGGGCCAGGCAGTGCCGGGGACCAGCCTCCGGCAAAATGTCATGTCAGGGGTTCTTGAAAGGATGAGACGGCCTCAGCGACCTGTAAGGGGCTGAAACTTAAAGGCTGAAGGGAAGGGGATGAGGTAGTGAGGAGACACTAACACTTGGATGAAGTGCAAATATCTTCTGCGGAGAGACTCAGCAGGTCTTTATTTATTCAGTTTTAGTAAGCAGAAAAAAAAAAATACATTGTCATGTGTAAAGCAGAAACAATTAGTGTATTTTATTCCCATGGACTACTGGCTCCTACGGGTCCCAGCTAGACGGTAGCCGTCAAGGTTATTAGATAAAAAACCAGACCTAACACTAAAACTTATTTTTTCAGCTAGACAATTATCTAAGACAGTGAATAGCCGCCAGTGCATCCCTATCAGCTAAAGCCTAAGCATCAAAAGACTATTCTATTCACATGGCCTTCAGTCAGAGACCAGCTGCTACTCAGCTACCAGAACTTTTTCTACCTACAAACTTCTTAACACAGTTAACTTCATTTAAAAACTTTCCTAAGAAACTTCTAAATAAAAAGGAAACTTCTAAAAAAAACAAAAGAAGGATTTACTATAATTGTTATGCTGGATTGCTTGTCAGATATATACAATAAATTGTCTCCCATTGTTAATTGGGCCGAATTGTGTAGTAACTAATTTCTAAACAGGTAATTTTCCATGCCAATTGCTTGCGGTCTGCTGATACATATAATTTATAGCCTAATGTACTTTTTGGGAAATTTTGTCTCTCTTTATGACCAAGAACAAAAAATGAAGGAATGTTAGATCTTCAGCCCCACAGTGTGAGGCACAAGGAATCTTCACCCTTGGTCAGGGTGAAAGCCCATTTGCAACATTTGTGATGTAACTATATCATTAGGGCTGAAAATTAATGTTTTTATTTGCGATAACACAGCTCTTCCCAATAATGTCATAGAAAGGGAAGGAATAACATAAGGTTGAGAAGTCCCGGACACCTGTCCATTATTTTAATTAAAAATTTGAGAACTTTTTGCCACATTTTGTGCTGACCCCAGTCCGACCAAAGTAGAGGACATGGCTTTTGTGAGCCAGGTGTTAGGCTAATTATGCCCTGCTATGCAAGGAACATCAGCACCAGTCTCTAACAATCCCTCAATTGTTTTTTTTCTATAGACATCACTAAAACTTTTAACATATTATGATAGTGATTTCTTTTCAGTAATTCAGAACACAAGGAGGGGCTTTGTGTATTCACCACCCCAAAATGCTACTTTAAACATTGTAGTTTTTAAAATTGACTTAAAAACAGTATAGCTTAGTTCCACTTGGTAAAGTTAATATGACAAAAAATTTACATATATAAGTGGATATATATATATATATACACACATGCACACACACTTTTTTAGTCAAGAAAAGAAAAATACTTTAAAGATACATTTAAACAGTAAATTATTAATATTTAACATAACTTTTTATGCATATATGCTTTGAATTATAAAATTTGAACTAGTTTTTGTATATCAAAAATTTTGGATCATGATCTCAAAGTTTGTTTTTATGAGAACTTACATAGGCGCCGTTTATGATTAGTCCTCCGGAGGTAAAAATCAAAACAAAGCAAAAACACAAAAACAGACACAAACAGACACAGAGATCTCTTGATATACATTTAAAATTTTGGCCATGTGTATATATTTAAGACATAGTTATTTTACCAATATGTGTGAAGATACTGAGGTTTAGAATTTTGCTAAAAAATGTCTGTATTATCACTTTATATTTTACCAGGTTAGTTAGTTTTAACAAGAAACTTAACCTTATAGGTCCAATAAGTAAATTTAAAAGCTTTTATTCAACTAATAAGTATTCTGTATCGCTTGTTAGCAAGTCAAAAGTAACTCAACAGTTTTTGCCTAAGACAATTTAGACTTTAAAATCATTGAAACACAGGGAAATAGAACTTTTTTTGTAGAATGAACCAAAATAATTTTTTAAGGTGGACAATAGAAAAGTTCAGTCCCCCACAGCAGGAAGGCAGTAGAGACCTGCCAGTGATTTCAACACTGAAGAAAAAGTCCAGGCAGCTGCTTGTTGAGACCAAGGGCAGCCCCCACCAGCCCACTGCAGTGGGTTTATACTATTTTAATAAAAACCTTTTAGTCATATTATAGTCATATAGTCTCATACACTCATATTTAACCATTTTTTATCACTTTACCAATTGTGAATGAACTTTGAATACTCTTATTTAAAAATGCCTTATTTATTTATTTATTTTAAAAGAAACAAATGGCAAAACTCCACTGGGGGGAACCTAACCTCCTCCCCAAATATTAACAGGAAAAGATTGAAGCATTTAAGATCATGTCACACTATCTCTTACTTCTTTTTGAGTTTTTATTTTTATCTCAACAATTTTAGCCAAGCCCGGGCTGGAAATTTGGGCTGGATTTTGGAATGGTCTGATAATTGGGAGCCGATGCCTCTACAAAGAGGTCAGCATTGGCTCTAGAATCAACTTTTGGCTTTTGAAAAACAATTTCATTATCTCAAGAATCCTGATCACTTTCTCTAATACTGCAAGCTATTTTTTCTTTTACCTTTTGTTTTGCATCTTTCATTTTGCCTCCAGCCAGGCAAAAAAAAACCGACCTATCTGTTCAGGCAATTGTTTTGTTGATACTGGGCTGTCAGCTGAGTCCTCTTTGATATTCTCTAGGGATACAGACAGCCATAATTTTCTGAGTTTTTTATTTATTTTCTCTAATTCAGACCCTTGAACTAGCATATCCTGTAGCAGACCCCACAGTGAAAAGTCATCTATGGGGACCTTCTCGGGTCCATGGAAAGTATAACAGGTTGTTATTTTCTCTCCTACTCTGGCCCAGGTTCTTACATCCAGAGTACCGTCCCTTGGAAACCAAGGACAACACATTACAACAAAATTTTGGAAACTAGCCAATTGCGCATGAGATGTTTTAAGGCCTCTCTTAACAAGTATACTTATATCAATAAAGAGTCCTCTTTCCCTAGACTCAACATAGCCCAACGGCTTCTCAACGATAAGACATTCACTCGCCTTATCACGTAATAAGACACTCACTAGCCTTCTTACAGTTCTGACTTACTGCTCCCCTCAAACCTGCTTTCTCTCCAGGAGTGTATGCGCCCTACCCTATGGAGCAGATCCTAGCTGAAAGAAATCTTACCTTTCAAGTCCCTGCTCCAGGCGCCACTTGCCCGGGACCAGCCTCTGGCAAAATGTCGTGTCAGGGGTTCCTGAAAGGATGAGACGGCCTCAGCGACCTGTAAGGGGCTGAAACTTAAGGGCTGAAGGGAAAGGGATGAGGTAGTGAGGAGACACTAACACTTGGATGAGGTGCAAGTATCTTCTGCCAAGAGACTCAGCAGGTCTTTATTTATTCAGTTTTCGGTAAGCAGAAAAAAAAAAATACATTGTCATGTGTAAAGCAGAAACAATTAGTGTATTTTATTCCCATGGACTACTGGCTCCTACGGGTCCCAGCTAGACGGCAGCCTTCAAGGTTATTAGATAAAAAACCAGACCTAACACTAAAACTTATTTTTTCAGCTAGACAATTATCTAAGACAGTGAATAGCCGCCAGTGCATCCCCATCAGCTAAAGCCTAAGCATCAAAAGACTATTTTATTCACATGGCCTTCAGTCAGAGACCAGCTGCTACTCAGCTACCAGAACTTTTTCTACCTACAAACTTCTTAACACAGTTAACTTCATTTAAAAACTTTCCTAAGAAACTTCTAAATAAAAAGGAAACTTCTGAAAAAACAAAAGAAGGATTTACTATAATTGTTTTGCTGGATTGCTTGTCAGATATATACAATAAATTGTCTCCCATTGTTAATTGGGCCGAATTGTGTAGTAACTAATTTCTAAACAGGTAATTTTCTGTGCCAATTGCTTGCGGTCTGCTAATACATATAATTTATAGCCTAATGTACTTTTTGGGAAATTTTGTCTCTCTTTATGACCAAGAACAAAAAATGAAGGAATGTTAGATCTTCAGCCCCACGGTGTGAGGCACAGGGAATCTTCAGCCCCACAGTGTGAGGCCCTTTACCTTCGCTGCTTGCCAGTGTCTTATCTGGCTGGGGCATCAAGGCCTCCTGCAGCAAGGCAGGGCAAGGAGACCAGGATTCCTGGAGCTCACAATCTATTGAGACCCTCACATTCAGGTGCCCACCTGCATTTGCACACACTTGAGAGAGTTTTTCTAAACTTTTGTTCCAGGTGTCTCTCCTGCCTTACCTTGGTCACTAAGAGCACACATCTTAGTGGACATTGGATGGAGGAGTCCATGGTCTGCCAGCTTGTGACCTTTTTGAGGCAGGGACTATGTATTTTGATCTCTATATTATCTTTATATTCCCAGTGCCCTGGTGTTGGTCAGAGAACCTGGCACTGAGGACACTCAATAAATGTTCATCGAACGAATAAATATTTGTTTAATGACACAGACAGGGCAACCCAAGCAAAGGTGGTAAGCAAACAAGTACAGACTCTAAATAATCAGTCTCCAAATAGAAGTTCAGCATGGTATGAAAGAGTACTTACTGCATCCATGTGTGGAGAGAAGACCTGGGCTTGGAATGAGTTCAGTATTTAAAACCTATTTTCTAATGTGTTAGAAGAATGGAATGTGTGTGACTTATAAGCAAAATGTGTGAACTTGTAATCAAAATCAAGGCCTAGTGCCCTTGCCATTGGAACAAAGGCATGTTTCAAAATGCAAAACTGCAAAAGTTGAAAATGTTCTGTAAAATTTATAACACTCAGAGTGCTCTCCTCCTACATCCGTCCCTGAAGGGAATTTTTAAAAGAAATACAAGTAGTTCTTTTTTTTTTTGGAAAGATAAATGTCATTCTATTGTATGATTCGGGTTGCTATGTTACTTAATTACATTAAATGTCATTTCTGCTCATCAATGACAACTCTTTTTCGTCTTTTTTTGGAGGGGAATAATGCATGTGCAGCCTAAATAAACATTCACTAGGGGGAGGGAATTCCTAGCATAAAATTTGCAATAATGAAGTCTGCTTTGCTTTTATTCTCACAGGGGTTTACATTGCAGGAACTAATAGAAAGCTGGAATTCTCTTTTCTCCAGGGATCAAAACCAAAGAGAGAAAGACGGTTACTCTTATTCTTCCTCTCCCACTCTGCCCTGTAAGATGAAGTCTGCACAGATTAGCAGCTTCCTAACTGGTCGCTGGGCCCTAAAATGAGGACAATTCTGGAAGCACTGAGTTCACACTCAACTAGAACAGAAGCAATATAGGAAAGTGAAATTAATGGCACATTTGTTCTCTGATTAAATATATTAGCTGTCTAATAGATAAATGAATTTAGAATTTGTTTTTAGAAGCAAGGATAGAGAACAGAGGTAGAGAGAGGGCTCTGCCTTCCTGCTTCAAGCCGATCTTTCTTCCTCCTTCCCCTCCCCAGCTTCATTGCTATTAAAAACCAAAGTCCTGCCACTCATTTTTTAATGTATGCTGCTGGGAGACATGCACAGCAATTAAAGATATTTCTTAGATTTTTTTTTTTATGCTTCAAAGTGTAAGGGGGGAAGTTGTAACTTTCTATTCTGATAATCCCTATTGATTTTTTTAATTGAAAGTAATAATTGTTTTTGGTAAGAAAGTTCAAATACAGAAAAAATATACATTTGAACTAATAGCTTCCTTCCTCACCCAATTATTGTCCTCCTAGGAGACTCCTGTTAATGAGTTCTTGAGTGTCTTTTCAGGAAAAAAAAAAAATTGGCTCCATTGGCATATATCTTTTAAAATTTTTTACATATATTGAATTATATTCTCCCCTGTGCCTTTTTTTAACTTAATAACATACCCTGAATATCTTTTGGCATCACTACATCAACTGTATTCTCCATATTATGCCCCCCCCCCGTATTTCATTGAATAAAGACACCCTATTTATTCAAATTGTCCCCTGTTGATGGACATTTGCAATAATTTTTTTGCTATTATAAACAAGTTTCAACAAACACCTTTGCACATACATCTTGACATTGTCCTTCATAAGTATTCTTTTTTTTTTTTAAAGATTTATTTATTTATTTATACAAGCACTGGGTACAGTCAGAAGCGCGGGAGGGTGAGAGAATTCACCAGAGCCAGAGCGGGGAGCAGAGCAGGCAGAAGGACTGAAGTACACTGCTGAGGGGAGCAGCGGGCGGCAGGAGAGGTCTGCGCGCCATGCGGGACCCTCCTCCAGTGGCCGGGGAGCAGCCGGGGATCGAACCGGCGCTGCAGAGGCTGCGGGCAGCTTCGCAACCCAGCGCTCAACCGCTGCGCCACCGGGGGAGGCCCTTCATAAGTATTCTTAAGGTAACTGGGCCATACATACAGTTGCCCTAGGTTGCACACTGCAGAAAATGCCCCCCCTTTATGGTCTCCAGTCACTTTGTAGATAGCATAACTTTAAATACATTCCATGGTTTAATTTTCTATGAGGCAGACAGGAAACATCTTAACGAAGGGGTTCCTTTTTCTAATGTGTGCAAAATCACCATGGCCCCAAGTAAGCGACCATTAACAGAACGATTGAGTAAATATTCACACAGACTTTTGATAGATATTGTCAACTTTCACTCCAAAATGGTTGTACCAATAATCAGTTCTGACAGAGCAAGTGGGTGTTTCTAAACTCTAAAACTTGGGGCTCCCTGGTGGCACAAGGTGTTAAGCACCGCACTGTGAAGTGGTCCACACCTCTGCAGCACAAGTTCAAACCCCAGCTGGCCAGGGAGAAACCCACATGGCGAGGCAGACCTCTCCTGTCTCTCCTGCTGCTCCCCTCAGCACTGCATTTCAGTCTTTCTGCCTGTTCTGTTCCCCGCTCTGTCTCTGATGAATCCTCTCACCCCCTGCATCTCTGGCCTGTACTCCAGCTCTTATATATATAAATAAATAAATCTTTAAAAAAAAAAAACTCTAAAACTTAACATGGTATTTGTTTGAAGCTGTGCTCAATCTTCATTTACCTGATGTGATAAGAAAGAATGAGAATAGGAACAATTAAAAGTCATGAAGAAAATTTCCCATGCGTAAAATTGAGTGATTAGCTTGCAACCTATTTCCCTTTCTTTTCTGGTCCTTGAATGAACAGAGAAAAGTAGGAGAGAGAAGCTGCACCAGGCCCAGAGCGCCTGAAACATTCAGAGTTGACCCCTGAACATGTAGGAGTTGAGAAAATAATCTTCCTTTGTTATTTTCTAGGAAACCTAAATGAAGAATATTGAGAAGCACAGGGGTGCTGTGAGGGGGTTGGGGTGGGGCTGGAGTTGTGAGGTTGGTGAACTGCCCACTGTTGTGGGCTGTATAACAAATACCCAACTACTATCGTCTTCTCCAGTCCCTCAAGGAGTCGAAAGTCCCAGGAACAGACTGGAAATTTAAAGACAGCAGCACACTCTGTGAAGCATTTGGGTCATGGGTGTACCATTGCACTGGTCAAATGAAGCCTGACATTGCTCTCACTGCCATAAAATGCCCACACACTTGTCATTCTTTGGGAGTCTACTGTGAATTTAAAATGGAAGGAAAAGCAAATGCAGTCCTGAAACTATGGTGAGTTGAAGAGAAAGGACATTTTAATCAAGATAAGGAAGGCGAGGGAGAGAAGGGGAGAAGAAAGGAGCTGAGAAAAGGTCAAAGGGGTGGAAAAGTGGAAGCTCATAGAGAATGAGGTAGCCTCGGAGGTGACAGAATCCATGGAAGGATCCTGACTGGTGAAAGCAGGAGAGGAAACCCAGCAGGTTCAGACTTTGAGCTAGCTTTGAGACTTTAGACCTATTCCCCATGATTGCTGCCGCTCAAGTTTCCTTACTTGTCAAAACATGAGAATGATCCCCCATGCCCCACCCCTAGGCTGGGGAGGACAAAATGACAAATAAGGAGGCTTTGGGATGTTAAAAAAACAGGGACCAAATGACATACAATCATATCTTTGGGGCTGCTGTCTTTCGCTCTAATTCTCTTTGACCATAGAGTACACGCAGCTCTTTCACCCGGCCCTTACAGCAATAGGAAACTCACACGAGAAGCTTCAAAATTTGCAAAATTGCATCGCCTGTCACATATCTCTAGAAGCTCAGGGAGAGCTTGCCTAAAAAGGCCTTATTATGTATTTCCCTCTCCTGATAAAATTCTATTCTATGTGTCATCTTCAAGGACAAAATGCAGTTTACCATCAGCTGCCAGATGGTTTAAAGGACTGCAGCGTTCCCAGGATTAGTTACATCTGCCTCTCCTCAGGATGTATTCCAGGGCAGAAGGCAGTCGAGCTGCCTTCCCTACTGCCTAGCTCAGGTAAGAGGCACAGAGCATTTTCTGGATTTAACTGATTCTTTTAAAAATTGCAGTTTAACACAATTCATTGTTATCAGATTTAACCCACTGGGCAAAATGTTTATATAAGTTTACAATTATTTTTTAGAATTAGGGGCGTTGGTGATGTGTCTCAGAGGAAAGACATTTAAGTCTGAACTTCCTTTTTTCAAAACTAATTTGCTGAATTTATTCTCAGGCTATGTGTTTTTGATTTGCCAGTTTCTCCTGTGTATTTCTTTCTTCTATGCAACCTCACTTATGTTTTTGGAATGAGCTGCTCCTTCTCAGGAAGGACCATCTCCACATGGAGGTTCATCTGGCCTTGGGCTCTGCAGGTCCTGAGCTCATCTTGGGGGCTCTGTTCATCTGGACGTGCTCACTGACTGGAGGATGTACATCTTGAACGTACATCTTAACTTGTTTCAACTTCAGCATGACTCTGCCTGTTTAAGCATGTGCAGGAAGAACTCAGCACTCTTTTGGGGTCACCCATTTGTGTCTAGCTCCACAGTTTGGGCTGGGCACCCCAGCACTGTGACGATGGGGTGGCATTTGCTCCTGAAAAGTGGCAGCTTTCAGAGATGTTTGCACAGATGCAAACATTTGACTGTACAGTCTCATAGATGTTCTTAAAGTGCATGTGGAGATCTGATCCTCTTGATTTGGATGATTTTGTGGGGTTTTCTGGGTCAAGGGAGTAGCAAGCCATTTTCAGAGAGTCTCAGGTTACTTATTGCAAGCCCTTGAAATTATTTTTGCCTTGTGGTACTAAAGATGATTGTCAAGTAATAAAGTCAGGAAAATAGAAGGCAGGGCAGCAAGGTGGTGGTTTGGACAAGTGTGTGACTGTGAAATGAATTAAGTTCTCTCAAACTGAGAAGGCAATTTGAGTCTGAAGTAGTGGGCACCTTCATTAATCACAGTTTATTCAGGGCAATGTACAGAGGTCATCAACACAAGAGCTGGTGTATTGATCTTCAGTTTGAGGCAAGAACCCCCAGCCCCAAAGGGTCTTCTTATACCTGGCTTATTATGAGTGATCTCTGTGTGAGACACTGACACCAGGTGTCTGGGGGACATGTCATGGGTGTTTTGTTCTACTAGATTAATAGAACTGCATGTAGGTTATGAGTGCAGGTAGATACACTTGAGAAAAACAAGGAAGAAACTGGCTAGCCCCCCAGGATGGGGTAATCACAGGCCATGGCCCAGGTTGGCGTCAGTGCAAGATGGAGTCATTTTGATTAATACAAGATGGAGTCACAGACAAGGACCTGGTTGATAGCAGCTTTCTGTTCATGGAGTGTGCAGAACTGGAGCACCTCTGACCCATTCCTCACACGGGCATCAGAGACTGAGACCACAGAAGGCTCCTGCTTCCCTGTGCCAGAGGGTAGTTGAAGTCAAGGGAGAAACCTGGTGCTTCTTTCTGCAGCATCAGCTTTATTCAAAGATTTGAGACAAAATAACCATTCCTCTTATATTAAGACATAAGTGTTTGGGGGCCTCCCTGGTGGCACAGGGGTTAAAGACAGTGCTATCAAGCTATCACTAGCCACTGCAACATGAATTCGATCCCCAGCCAGACAGGGAGCAACCCACATGGCACAGTAGACCCTTCCTGCCTTACCCACTGCTCCCCTCAGCAGTGTATTTCTGTAGATCTGCCTGTTCCACTCTCTCTGGTGAATCCTTTCACACACACACACACCCCTGCATCTCTGGCTTACACCCCAGTTCTTGTATGCATAAATAAATCTTTTTTTTTTCTAAAAAAGACATAAATGTTTGGGGGGTCATGAGGTTACCTAGCTCCTTGGGGGTCATCCAGCTGAGCTCTCACAGTCCTTTGAGGAAGGACTGGTCGTTCTCCTGGAGGGCACAGCCGGGTGTCGAGCAGTCTGCTCTCCCAAGTAAGATTTCCATAGACACTGGGTGCTGAGTGGGTGAGAGGTCTGCGTTCATTCCCAAAGTGTGGCTGGGAGGCAGCCATTTCATTTCTTTTGAGGAGTGAAAATACAAAGGTGGCTTTGGCCTGGGCTGGGGGTATTTCTAGAAAGATGAGAGGGAAGAACCTTAAAATCCTGCCTTTGAGACAAGCTTCCTGATGACAATGTATGACTAGAGAAGGAGGCTCTTCTGAAAATCCTGACACTGAAGAGAACCCCTTCTAGGTGGTGACTGTCTTTGTCCTAGTCTCCCACGTCTAAATCAAAACTAAATCGCTGCTTGATGTTCTTTCTGTTGCCCTTCTCATCAGTAATGCAGATAAAATAATTCCCCTTTTTGATTTTTGCAGTTTTATCTATCCCTGTGCACTTCTCACGATAAGGAAATATTGATTGAGAAAGAAAATAGAGTCGTTAAGCTAATAAAATTAATGACGGTGTGTGGAGGACATCATGTCATCGTATGTTGCAATCAAATTATCAAAGAAACTTCCCCTCTGGTCCCCAGGGCCTAAGGCCATGATAGGAGAATCTTCTCGGGCACCACGCCCTGGCTTGAATGCCTCCCAAGTCCACGCTTTGTGTGGGACCCTGGAGGCCATCAGGCCTAGCCAGGTCCTGCGTGAGGAGTGTTTCCTGGACTTGTGTTGGATCAGAAAGGACTCTGGGTGCTAACTCTGGTTCTGCCTCCTGCTTTTCTTTGTGGCTTTCAATCAAATGGTGAGACTTATCTTCACTTTAGTTTTCCCATTTTGAAGTGAGGAAGATACTATTTCTCTGTCAAATGTCTTAAAATCTGAATATGGAGAAATTGGACGTGAGGAGTTGTTCATGGGGTGTCATGGAGTCCCGGTTCACACGGTGGGGGCCTCTTTCAGCCTTGGTTGCCAGTGAGGTTTGGTAGAGAAGCCCTTAGACATCAGTGTGGATTTCCCTCTCCAGTCACCTCTGTTGACTGGTTTCATTTAACCTGCCTTGTTGGCCATTCTAAGTACTATGTGGACCAGTTCAGTATATGAACATGACACTTTCAGCAAATAACCCAATTCTGGTTTATTGAGAAGGTTAAGGCTAATTTGGAAGAATAATGCTTGGGCCTCCCTGGTGGCATAGAGGTTAAAGTCTCAGCACTGATCAAGCTATGGCTGGCCACTGCAGCATGAGTTCGAACCCCAGCCTGGGAGCTGACCCAGATGGCACAACAGACCTCTCCTGACTCACCCACTGCTCCCCTCCCCTCAGCAGATCCCCCTGTTCTGCTCCCCTCTCTGTCTCACCCTCTGCACCTCTGGCCTACACCCCAGTTCTTGTATGCATAAAGAAAAGAAAGGAAAGAAAAAGAAAAGAATTATGCTTGCTCATTCTCTCATTTATGTTGCTGTCCCTCCATCTCTGTGGCTGTCTCCTAGTTTCAGACAAACAGGGAGCATCTCTCTCCCTCACCCCCCTAGCCAGCCCTTTCTCTCTTGGGCTCATCCTATTCTGCTTTTCATTACCTGCACTGCCTGCCCCCTTCTTGCAACCGCTTGCAAATAAACGAAAGCTTTATTCTATTTTAAAAAGTTCACAAGAAAACCAAAATGCCTTTGCTTGACCTTGCTTTCTCTTCTATTTATTGCCTGCCTTTTGCAACAAGGTATCTCAATTTCTTTTTCCACATAGCCACTTAGCTTTGCCTTCTAACATCTAACTTTGAAATTGCATTCTCAGGGGTCACCAGCCGTGCCCTTGCGGGTCCAGTCCAAAGAGGGTTCTGTGTCAGCCTCATTCTCCTTATTTTCTCTGGAATATCTTCTTTCCCTCCCCTTTTTTTTGTTCAACCTTCCACGCTGACATCTCTGGTTTCTATTTGTCCACCTACCTCCTAGCTAGATTTCCAAACCTGCGCACTGAGTAGCACTGCAGATAAGACTCTAAACTCTGACAGTAGCTTGACTGTCATTAAATTCTAACTCTGCCACTTACTAACTGTATGACCTTTGACAAGGTCATTGCTCTGTGCCTCAGTTTCCACATCCTTAAAGTCAAGATCATTGTCAGGGTGTTCCCTCAGGTTTGCTGTAAGAATCAAATGAAAGTCTGTGTAATATTTACCGCAATGTTTGCCACATAAAATTATTGGATGATGTTACATTAGCATACAATAAGCTCCTCAGTCTTTGAAAATGTAACTTTTTTCCCTTTTAGGACATAACAGCTATGTGATATGGGCCAGCAATAAACAATTATTGATTCATGCATGTGCTTAGAGAGTGCAAGGAAGAGCAATGACTGGGAGCGGGAGATATCAAATGTTCCCAGTGCTGCTCATTCGCATGTTTTTGTTTTGTTTTGATCAACAACTCTATTAAATTGTTGAGGGCTTAAATTTGTTCTTTCAGGATCTGTGGTGTTTGCTGAGCAGGAAGGGGCATCAGTGGTTAAAGCTCTGGTTTTCGGTGCACCAAGCGGTCACAATGAGGCCGGGGACATCGCGTCCCATCCTTGGATTAAATCTGCTCTCACAGGATTTGGGGGCGGGTGCAGCCCCGCAGCTGCGGCTCTGTGCGAGGGCGCCCCGGAGCCGTCCCCTGAGCGATGCCGCCATCTAGTGGCCGCGCGGGGAGCAGCGCTGGGCCGAGCCTTCGGATCCAGAGCCGGGACCAAGCCCAGAACTGCAGCCCTTTCTTAAGAAAGTGAGGGGGAGCCTCGAAACGAGGGCAGGAGGGTGGGGGAAAGAGCAGCCAGGGGGAGGGGAACACCTCGGCCCCGTTTGGCGAAGTAAAGAGCACAGATGATGCTTGTGCACACCTGCAACAGGGGGAGGGAATTCCCAATTCTACCTAAACTTTGATTTTTTTTTTTTTCCTCATAGGATTCTCACTTTGCAACACTGCCGACTCGTTTTCCTGAACAGACCCGGCTTCACCTTCTCCTTTCCTTTCTTCTCCGTTAGGAAGTCAGAGCTGGGGAAATTGAGCCGAGTCATCCCGCCTGGCTGCTGCCCCGGGGACCGCAGTGCTGAGCGGCCTGGCCCCCGCTGCACCCCGCCCGCCGCGCCAGGTAAGGGCCAGCAACGCCCTGCCCCGCCCCGGGCTCCCCAGTCCCTTCTGCAGTCAGCTGGGCCGGGGCTATCAGAGGAGAATAAATCTCTGTAAAAGTGAAGCGGGCGATGTTGACCATGATTCATGTTTCCCAAACGTTGTCAATCCAATCCCATCCATCCCTCTGTGCCCCCTAGGCGGGCACTAGAGCTTTTTATGAAGTCATCAGAGCCCTTCAGAGTGGGCGGGACTGAAGGGAAGGGATTGATGCTTCAAACTGAAGCGGGTCCGCAGTGCCCTTGACTGGTCAGCTCGCAGGATGTGGTCAGGGCTCCAGACAGGCTCAAGTGACCTTGGGTATAGATGGTGGATTCTCCTCTGCCACCTCTGTCATTATTAGCTGTTTGACTTTGGATGAATTGTTTATGTGGGGGGGGGTTGTTTACATTATTCTAAGCCCCAGTTTCTCCTTTAAAATGAAACCTATTTCTCCAGACTAGAGCAGAGAATAAAGAAAGTACTTGAGAGATTGGGTCTGGAGTTTAGAGAGTTCATGGGAGAAGTAGTGGGTTAAAGCAGAGGATTGTAAAGGTTGGGGCATACACCAACCTTAGCAGAGAACTTCCCCATCCCTGATGTGGGGCTGGGGCCCTTTCTTTGAATGTGGGTCCACTAGTTGGTGTGTGTTGAATTGCCTTTCTTGCACCAGCTCCACAGACCTCATCTCTGAGCTCTCATTCAGGTTTCTTTCTAAGTAGTGAGAATTTAGAGACATCGGGGAAGACATGAGGAAAGTCACTTTATGCAGAATCACTGCTGTTGTAATAATCATTCCAGATCACTAAGACAGCTCAGCTTTTACTGTCCACACTCATTGTAACTAGAGAACAGTTTTTCAATGCAGATTTCCCTGTTGGAGCTTTCCAAAGCATTCAAACTGACTTTCCTAGAAACAACTTCCTTTCTTTTATATGCTCATGTCTCCTCGGTTTATATTTCATTAAATTTCAAGTTATGGTATCAAGCCCAGGTGTCACAAACTGTTTCCTTACTAGGCATGGAAGGGCTACCAAGACAGAGGCACCAGCGGGTTCTGCCAGCCACACGTGCTGGTTGGTCTACTTGACAGAGCTCCTGGAGAATTACGTTTAACTAGTTGGTTAGTTGGTTGGCAAGCCAATTAAGCTAACAGTTTCTCCTGCAGTGTTTACAAAGTGCACAACACAACACAGCATCAAACACACATATGTGCGATTTAATAAATGGTAGTTATTAATAATATTACCATCATTAATAAGATCAGTGTTGGAAGGATTGTTAGAAACCTAACAGTTTCTCCTGCTCATTTTACACATGAGATAAGATCAAAGTGTTTTGCAATTTTGACTTTCATAATATACTTTGGCTTCAACAAATAATTAAGGGTTATTGACCATAAACCTCGTATCTCAAGCCAGAAGGATTTAAACTGACACAGACACCTGAGAGTCAGCATAAAGCCCTAGTCTTCGCAGGCACCCAAGTCTGTGTCTGTTCAGGGAGACCCAGCAGAAGCACAGCATGGCCATGAAGCCATCACACTCTGGGGAGAGTGAAAATGGGGGTGTAGGGTAGGTAAAAGGTATCAGGCTTTTCTGCCCTCCCAGCATTAGGATAGATGACAGAACCCTGCGGTCCTGAATGCATGCCTGATGGTAGGCACCTGGAGTAGGGTGTGGGCATGCATACGTGGGTACACCTGAGCTAAGAGACTGGTTTATAAGGGTGGCTCAGCAGAGTGCGGTGTGGTGGTGGTGCGGTGTCGAGGCTGGAGGAGTGCAGTGGAGTGTACGGAGGAGTATGGCAACTACAAACAACAGCGAAGAGCATGTGGCTGCTGGAACCGTTAATAAACCTACCCGGAATGGGTTGGTTGCATTACAGGGGGGAAGGGCATCAGCACATTCAACAAGCACTTCCCAAAGGAAGAATTCCATGGAGCTTTGGCTTCAAGGTGGCCAAGTGGCCTTGGTCATGCAAGACTAGGCACTGCTGATGACCAGAACATTCCACCAGGAAACCCCCCCCTTGAATAGCAGAGGAGAGTTATTTGGGGCTTGTTGGCAGAGTTAGAATACCTTGGAAATGTAAAACTATGTTTATTCGTCATTTATTCAAAATGTTCCTTTCTGAGATAGTTTTGGATCAGATGGAAATTATCCCTCTGCTTGATTAGTTTGGGTCATTTATGGGCAAGGAGGGGCCTTGAAGGCAGGCAGGAGGTGGGCACGTGGTGAGCGGAGTCCTTTAAGAAGCTCCAAGCTCAAGAGACACAAACCTCCAGGTTTTGTGACCCCAAATTAACTTATTTTGTATTATTTTTAAGGAGACCTTTTAAGAATAGCACCCAAGAAGAGTGCCCAAATTACAGCCTGTTCAGCTTGATGTGATTTCTTTGTTATTTTAAAAATGAAATATAATGTGCTTCATAGATCCATGTCACCAGCCCCTCCCAACCCCATTCTCTGCAAAGACACACACATACTCTCCCCTCTCTAGCCTCTTGGCCCCAGTTCCTCCACCATTTTAAGGGCCTGTCCAGATGTGTGGTGTCAGATTAGTGGAGTGTGCAATTCTGGGGTCATTTTATGTCTCCTGCAGAGGTTCTAGTACCCCAGCAGGGGTGTGGCGTCACCTGGCACCTTGTAAACAAAGCAGTGCTCAAGCCTCAGGCTCCATGAAATTCTGATCCAGTAATTACAGGGTAGGCCTGGAGGTTGGAACAAGCCCTCCAGGGGATTCTGATGCAGGAGGCCTGCCCAACACTGTGAGAAATACTTTGCTTCTCTGTACCAAAGCTCAAGATGAGCCCTGACAGCCAATGAGATTAAAAGGAAATCCCAGTTTTTGTCTTGTGATGGGGAGGTGGGGAGTAGGGAGTGGCTGGCAGAGGAGCTGAGCTGAGGGGGAGGTGATGCCCCCCCCCCCCCCCCCCCCGCCCCTGCCCTGCCACTCCCCACCCCCCAGTGTATCTCACTGACCCCATACTGAGTATCCCACACAGAGCACTCAGCTCTCACTTACTATGCCCTGCTGGGAGTCCTCCGATGTCACATTCTAGCAGTTCCTAGTAAGAGGTGACAGGACTGGATGCTTGACTTGCGAAGCCTGGGACTGCTGTCTGGAGGGTGAAAGGCCTTAGCTGCTGTGCTAATTTGCAAGAGAAAGCCAGCACTGCCAGCCAGCGCCTCCGTTGCTCTACTTCCCCACGGAGAGAAGCTTCCTGCATGACTCCTGTGGCTCAGAACAGACACCAGCTGTTTTGCAGAGGCCGTGAGTGGCCCTCAGCTCGAGGGAGCCTGGCTTCCTCCCCGCTCAGCCTCCTTGGCTCTGACCCCACCGTTCAAGCCAAGGAGTGGCAGAGCCTTTTGAACCATGAGACTGTGCGCAGAAAATCCCCGGAAAGAAACAACCACACGTGTTTTTTTGCCTCAGTGTGAAAATCTAAATCCCTTTATTCTGGGAGAGAAATGACGATCATACTCTGGTTTCTTTTTCTTAAAATGCAGTGATTCTCGAAGTGTGCCTCCCAGATGAGCAGCATTCCAGTATCACCTGGGCGTTTGTTCAAAATGCAGATTGGGCTGACTTGGGATATAAAGAGTCAGAAACTCTGAGGCTCAGGTCTGGGAACCTGAGTTTTAACAAGGCCTCCTTGTGATTGCGACGACGCGCCTGCAGGTGTGAGAGCCATGGGCTTAATAACAAAACCCACGGCCAGTCTTGCTAATTGGTGGGAGTATAAGTTTCTGGGTTTTTATTTGGGTCTTTCATTGCAGTGATGAGGGGAGACCTGTTGATGAGAGATGAAGTAATAGAGACAGGGGTTTTGGGGTGAAGAGGTGCTTGGTGGACCTCTCCAGTGTCTTCTGACTGAGAGCATTTCCCACCTGTGGGGTGGGGGTGGTGGGCAAAGATGGTGGAGCAACTAAATCCTGTGCCCCTCTTGGTCAGACAGAGTCAGACGTTCCAAAGCACAGCTGTTTAGTTGGGCTGGGTACTGTCAGCCACCTGCATTTAAATAATTTCCCCACTCAAGGACTATCATTAGGGTGCAACTTGTCCCAGTTTGCCCAGGACTTTCTTGCTCTTAGACTGAGTCCCAGGTCTAGGCAAACTAAGATGGTTGGTCACTGGTCACCCTAGTTCAGTGCCTGCCCATTGGAATTACTTTGTGAGTTTTAAAAATGACTGATGCCTAAGGCCACCTCCAAAGGCAGTGGTAGACTTGGTCTCTAACTCACTTTAGGTAGATAAGGGAGAGGTGAAAAGCCTTGAGGCTACTGGGTCCTAACTGCTTTCAGCTCAAAACAATCCATGTGCCAACATGGCCTATTTGGGGGGAAGCCTGTTCTGCTCCCCCACAGACACAAGAGGTCTGTAGGGTAGAATGAGGGGGTAGGGGGCAGAATGTCTTTACCCCTATGCTGATTCCTCTCTAGCTGTTTCCAGCGGCCCCTTATTTTTCTATGTGACTGTCCCCTCCACTTGCCCTGGCCTCAGGGGCACTGCCACCCTATGTGCTTACCCCAGCCCTGAGCTTTGTGTGATATTTGTTGATGCTGAGGCTTCTAAGACATTGTGGCTCATGCAATGACTTTTTTTTTTTCCAGTTCCATGGACCAAGCACAGAGAACCCTGGGCCAGCCCCCTTCTGTCCCCACCTCCCCGTCCAAGAAGAAAAGGACACTAAGGATGTCTTTCTTTTCCAAGGTGTGACAACATTTAATGAACAATTGTCCACTCCCAGCTACTTAGCCTCATTGTGCTTACCCGGCCTGTGTAGCTGGGTTCCTTTTTCTGAGAAAAGTCTGATGGCCGTTCTTTAAACACAGACTGTCTGTGGGACGGCAAGAAGATGCTTTTGGGAGAGAATTTACCTGGCCACTAACTTAATAAAAACACAGAATGAACTGCAATGGATGATAGTGATGAGGCTTGGTGATCACCAAATTATCACTGCAGCGGGGTTACCCACCTCCAGCCCTGCAGTTAGAGTTTACACACACGTATCTGCGCCAGCCACACATGGTGTCCCAGTGTGCGTTATTCACACACTCCTTTTCCTAATCATAATTAGTGACGCCTCTCGGGCGGGACTTCCTTCAAGGACCCTGAAATGTGTGCAGAGGTACTTTGTTCAAGGTCCAAATGCTGTTGAGTAAGATAAGTACTGAGAATTGACCTTGGCTTCAGGCACACTGGGTGTGGGTATTCAGGGTGGGGTATTTCAGAAGGTTCAAGAGAGAATAGAGGGAGGAAATGGAGAAAGCAAGCAGACATACTTCTTTCAGGATGGGGAAGAGCTGAGGTGGAAGACGGGTCTTTAAGACGGGAGGAATAGTACAGTGCCTCGTGCTGGGACTGGGGTCCACACCTCCACACATCGACTTCCCAAGTCCCTTTCTTCTCACCCTCCCCCCAGGCTGCCCTGGGGTACCTGGGGGGTACCTGTCATTCCCCAGACCTACCTCAACATCAACTCTGCTTTATTTTTCTTCACCTCTTTTCTCTTCTTCCTTCTACCTTTTTCTCTTCCTTCATCGGTTTCTTCATTATGTAGATCCAGCAGATATATTCCCAACAAAATCGTCTTTAGATAGAGAAAGAAGGGGTAAGATTGAGCAGCAACACAAGATCTTCTTTGGCAGGAGGGGCTGGGTTCAGGTGACTCTGGATGCTTCTGCATCCATCATCTTTGACTCACCTCCCAGGTCTCCTGGAAACTGAGGTTCCAGAAGCAGGAGCCTCTGAAGAACCTGTTTTTCATCTTGGCGGAGAGAGCCCGAGACCCCAGTGCTAAAAAACGTCATATGGCAATGAGGGGCCTGGGGACGGTGGCCTGTGAGACCCCAGACAAGGTAGGAAGGGGGTGGCCTGGAGTCCCCAGGACGGGGTTGGGGGGCTCATGTAGTTCTCTCGGTGCTATGGAACAGGTCACCACAGAGGTAACAGCTGAAAGCAACAGCCAGTTGCTTTATTTGCGTCTCTTGGGGTCTGGAGCCCAGGAAGAGCTGTCCTGGGTCATCAAGCCTGCAGTCAAAGTTCAGTCCTTCCCGAAGCTCTGGTTGCTCTCCCAAGCTTTTGTGGCCGCTGGAAGGAGCCTGCTCTTGTTTTACTGCTGCCAGGCCACCCTCGGCTCCTAAAGGCCACCCTCCCACTGCATGGCAGCTGATTTCTTCAAGGACAGCAAGGGAGTGTCACCCCCTCCTGTCTGCTCAGAGTCTGATATAATGGAAAGTAACCCTGGGAATGTTATCAGTCACTGCTGTCATGGCCTATAAGCTAGAAGCAAGTCACTGGCTCCTCCCACACTCCAAGGAAGGGGCTTCTCTGGGCCATGATGCCTGTGGGATATTATCCAACCTCAGTATTATCAGACTTGGGAAGCAGAGCTGCAGACAGGATTAATACACAGCTGGACATTACCCTCTTTGTGAATTTCTTTCTTTTTTTTTCCTAAAGATTTATTTTTATTTATTTATACAAGCACTGGGTACAGTCAGAAGCATGGGAGTGTGAGAGAATTCACCAGAGCCAGAGCGGGGAGCAGAGCAGGTAGAAGGACCGAAGTACACTGCTAAGGGGAGCAGCGGGCGGCAGGAGAGGTCTGCGCGCCATGTGGGACCCTCCTCTGGTGGCCGGGGAGCAGTAGGGATCGAACTGGCGCCGCAGAGGCTGCAGGCAGCTTCACAACCCAGTGCTCAACCACTGCGCCACTGGGGAGGCCCTGTGAATTTATTTCTAATAATAAAAATATACTTGTGCAGTAAATGATGTCTTCCTCACCTCCTCCTTTAGCATCTGTCTGCCTCTGTCACCATTCCTTCTCATTCCTTCGAAAGGAGCCCAGTTCCCCCCACCCTTAGATCACCCAGGTCCACCGCCCTCCGGTTAGCGCCCCACCCAGACGCATCCACCCGCGGGCCACGTTCCAGGTTGCTCCTCTGTTCTCCTGCCAGCTCTGACTTGGGCTCTGGGGTTAGGTAAATGGAAGCATCTGTACTTTGCTAAGACCTATTGTGCCCGCCTCGAAGAAAGCCATGGTCTCTTAGTCCAAGTCCTAGATTATGAGATGATTGGATATAGAATTGCTTTCCAATACAGGGGAGCAACTCCTGTGCTACTAACGCCTTTCCTATCTCGGCAACAGGTGAGAAAATATAAGAACGTTGTTCTGGACCTGCTGGTGCGTGGCTTGTATGACCCCATGAGTTCTGAAGTCATCCACGAGAGCATGAAGACTCTGACCATCCTCCTGGGCAAGATCCAGGGGAAGGGCCTGGGCTCCTTCTTTATAGACATCACTCTTCAGACCAGGACCTTATTAGAGGATGTAAGTCACACAACTCAGAAAAAGTCTGGGTGATTCAGAATCCAAGTGGGACAAATGTGAGCTCTGGGTGGGGTGTTGTTCCTGGAACAAGGCCGCTAGTAGTCTCTTCTTTATTAACAACGCTTACCGAGAGACTCACACTGAGCTGGGGCTTATGGAGGGCATGCAGAAGCATGTGCAGGGTGCCAGCTCCAGCCTCAGGAGGTTTCCTTGTGATAGAGAGGTGACTGTGTGTATGCACGGTGACAATGCCAGCACATGGGCAGTGTTCTCTTACAAATGTCACAGTAACAGTACCAATCAGTGGCCCTTGCCATGTGCAGGCTCAGTGCCAGGCATTTTCCATGGACAGCCCCACATAGTCTTTGCAGTCACCCTGTGAGGCAGGCAGCAGTACATCTCTTTATGGATGAGGAAACCAAGGGCCAGAAAAGTTCAGTAGCTTGCCCCCGCTTCACAGTAAGTGACAGGAAACCAGTCTCTGGCCGCAGGGCCCGAATGATTAACTACCAGGTGACAGGCCAGGCAGGTTTAGCAAAAAGTGCATCACTAGGTTGTACAGTGGGAGGCTGTGAGGACTCTGGGATGTCTTCCCTTCAAGCTAACCAGTTATCCTGCATTGACTGTGGAGCAGCGATAGGATGGATTGATGATAGCCGGTCACACACACAGGTGCCTGTCACAGTTAAACAGGCAGTCCTTCAGCTACGCACATGCCTACACACATACACACACACACACACACACACACATACACTCCACAAATCCCGCCATGCAGAGCAGGAAACAGACCTTTTCTTCATTCATAGAACATCTTGCACGAGGCCCCCACAGCTCATCCCCATGGGGCACAGCAAGGACCAAATGCTCCACACAAGGACCGAGACACTAGGAGCTTGTCCCAGACCCTGGCTTGCATGCCTGTCCTCCCTCTTGAGGGTCTGACTAGACCCTCCCAGGGCGATGAGACCCCATCCACCCTGCGCGGGGAGAGGAGGGTCCTCATGCCCAGGAGTGGGAGCAGAGGTCTTGGGGCGAGATGTCTATGTCTCCCCCGGGTGCCGTCCCTAACTGCCAGAGCCATTAGTCATTTTAGGAAACCCGGGCTGCTGTGATATCTGATCAGAGAGCCCTGATCATGTGCACTCCCACACACGCTTGTGGGCCCTGTCTCCTGACAGTTCATACACCAGGACCGCGTGTCACCGCCTGCCCTCTGCTGTGCTGGAGACTGTCTGGCCCCAGGCGGGGGTGGGGGTACAGGCACTGGCTCATCTGTCTCTGTACATCTCATGGCCTGCGGACAGTTCTCAGGCTGTCAGGTCTAGCTGTCAGGTCTCGGTGAGTTGAATAGTGCACACACGAGGAGTGGTGATGAAAATACAGAACTCAAGCTATTTCTATATATGTCACATGTGCAAAAAAATAATTTTAAACACTTCATAGATGCTCGGTGACCTCAGTCTTGCTGAGTGCTTGTGACCCCCCCCCCCCCAGGTCTAGGTCCATGCCAACCTCCTTTTTTTTTTTTAAGATTTATTTATTTATTTATTTATATAAGCACTGGGTACAGTCAGAAGCGCGGGAGGGTGAGAGAATTCACCAGAGCCAGAGCAGGGAGCTGAACAGGCAGACTGACGAAGTACACTGCTGAGGGGAGCAGCGGGCGGCAGGAGAGGTCTGCGCGCCATGTGGGACCCTCCTCTGGTGGCCGGGGAGCAGCTGGGGATCGAACTGGCACTGCAGAGGCTGCGGGCAGCTTCACAACCCAGCGCTCAACTGCTGCGCCACCAGGGAGATGCCAGCCTCCTTCCCTTTGCTTCCCCTGGAAACATTGATATGAAAATGCCCTCAGCAAGAGCCAGGAGACTGGGGCGCCAGCCTGGTTGTTACCTGATGCCAGGACCCTGGACCTGTAAATCCCTGGGTACTATCCTCCCCTAAAAGGGAGACTCTTGGACCTGACAGCTCACCTTGGAGAGGAAGAGGGGGCCGACCCCCGGGCCCCCCAGCTCAGAGCAGCCATCAGACTAAAGCAGGGAGGGATAGGGGTGCATAGGGGAGAAACATCACTGTCATTTCTACTATAGATGAGAGAAACTCAGACCTAAAGTGAGGAGAGAGAACCTGGCAAAAATGCTGGAAGCAATAATAAACAGAGGAGGGGTCCAAAAAAAAAGAACTAGAATCTCTGTGTGTTTTGACATGGAAAGAGCTCCCAGACAGATTATCTGGTGGGAAGCCAAGGCGCGTGACTGTGGGATGGTTTGCTTCCCACTGTGTGAGAGGCTGAGAAAGGACAACCTCCTGGGTGGCTTTTTCTTTTTTCTCCCTAATTTTCTGGTAGCAGATGCATAAGACAGAACTTTGTTAACAGGGGGCAGGGAGGAAAATTTGCAAGGAGACTATTCCTTTTATTTGGAATCAATAAATGTATTCTATCTCCCAAACATTAAGTAATGCACAAAAAAGCTGGGGAGTTAGAGTAGCTTTCGTGACCCACAATGGAACCCTGCATCTGCTGGAGAGCGATGCCCCTCCGCCCCCAGGTGCTTTGATGCTGTGGCTGGATGCTCTGGTGCAGCTTCCAGTTGGGAATGACCCAGCCGTGCTGTTTTGTTCATGGGGATCCGCAGGAGAATGACAGTCTGAGATACTCGGCCTTCGTCTTGTTTGGGCAACTGGCTGCCTTTGCTGGGCGAAAATGGAAGAAATTTTTCACCAGGCAAGTTAAGCAGACTCAAGACTCCCTCCTGATACATTTACAGGATAGGAATCCCCAGGTTGCCAAGGTAAGCCCGTGACTCTCCACCCAAACACGTAAACTCCGCGCCTTTCCTGAAAGGAGTTGTGTGTGATGCGGCCTTGTTGACTGAGAGGCCAAGCCCCAGTTCCTTCTGGGTCAGTGATGGGCATTTAGCAGAAGTCGTGCACTTCCTGGAAAAGGTGACTCCTCGGCCCTAGTCTCTCTCTGAGCAAGTGTTATTTTCCAAGCGCTCTTGCCCCTCCTGCCCAATCCCAGCACCTGTCAAGGCTCAATGAGCCCTGGGTAATGGAGGGCAGGGCAGAGAGGCGCAGCCATCCACAGAATGAGGATATTTGCTCAGTTAGCTGCTGTCACTGCACTTAGCATGGCCCTCCCACCCCTGGCTTCTCAGTTCCCTACAGAGCTTTCGATTCCTGCCTGGGGAAAGTATGTGCTAACAGGGTTGGATCAGCCTCAGGCCTGCTTTGGAATGGGGTTGTGTGAGCGCTTCCAGCCACATGAAGCAAAGGGTTCCATCAAACCACTCATCTTCTTTAAATTCGTGCACATGGGGTGGGGATGAGGAATGCACAGAAAGAGAGAATTTAGGATTCAGAACTATTTTTGATGGGACAATAACAAGAGTGTGGTAAACCATAAAACTAAGCTCACCCACCAGCCCTGAATTATAGACAGTCATTTAACAGGCGTAAGTCCTTGACAGTTCATTTTCAAACTTCCAGGAAGTTACTTTCACACTCTGCGCGCCCTTGAGACCTCATTCCTCTGGGATGACCTTCCTGGCTCAGGATTATAAAACTCCTTAAGGTTTTTCATGGTAGGATGGTAATGTTCTTTTTCTCAGGCTTGCAAGACAGCTTTTCAAGCCTGTTCTCCATATCTGAGAAAAAGGAAGGACTATGGCTTCCAGAGTGAAGAAGACCAAAGAAACCCCAAACTCAGCCGGCAGCTGGTGAGTCAGAGGGCAGGACAGGATGCTCCTGGGGGGGGCCTGCCCTCCCGGTTTAAACACAACACACCAGGGAATTACCCCCAAACACCACCTGGGCCAGGGGTGTCTCAGTGGATCTGGACCCATGATGCAATGTCAATCACCATTGCCTGGAGGATTTCGCACCAGTGTGTGCATGGTCTAGACAGCTCCAGTTCAGATCATCAGTGAGGACAGGCAAGGATATCCCCCTGGTGAGATCTGCTGTCCCTTGTCCTCATGCTCTGCATTGGGCAACTGTCTGCTTATTCTACAGTCAACGGGCTTTGGGGAACCCCTCCCTCATGTGTACCTTTGCTAATTTCTTTCAGAGCCACTATCATCCAGAGCTCCTGCAGTTCTTCTACGCAAATAAAATTCTGTAAACACAGAGTAGCAGGAATGGTTCCACCCAAGCACACCCCAAAGGGCTGACAGTCCTTCTTTTAACTCTTTGGATGCTTCTTCTTGCCTCTTGTGATTGATATAGAAAAGGGGATGTCGGGAGAGCAATGGATGTCAAATAATCCCATGAAATTTGTATTATTATATCCAAAGTAAATTCTAAGTTGCTTTTACATGTCCCAGTTGCTCCCCATATAGGTTTGGTGAGAAAGTACATACTTTCTTCAAAACATCAACAGTCTGTGTAGATTCTCAGCCTTTTCTTTCTTAAGTCCATCTCTGTTACCTTTTGTTTTAAATTACTGAGGCTTAGAAGAATAAGTATTACCTTAACTATTTTTTATTGACTATAAATACTTTGCTATTTGCTATCAATACCTTTCCTTGGCAAGACTTATTTAAAGGAGGCCAGGGTACAAGAAGGTGATTTGGAGGGGTACCTTTAGCTTCTTCTCCTCAATAGTCATCACCTCTAAATCATTCCAAATAAGAATTGACAAAGAGAAAAGAAATCTATAAAGCATGTGTTGAAAACCCTCAGGCTGATGGTAGCATATGGAATAATAATAGTAAGTAACATTATTGTGTTTATGTCTGAGCACTCTTAGTGCTTTGCACGTACTTTTTAATACTTGCACGAGATAGGCACTCATTTTATAGAGTAGAAAACTTAGGCACATGGAAATTAGATGACTTGTCCAAAGTGACCAGTCAATGATGGAGCCAGAATCTCACCCCATATGGTCCACCTTCTGGAGCCTGCACTCAGTCACCGTGCAACACTGCTTCATTATGGAATAATTAATGTCTGGTTAGAAATGTAAAAAACAGAACAAAGCAAACAGATTAAAACCTTCAGCTTATTTTCTCATATTAAAGTCAGTTCAGTTTTGCTTGTACTTGTACTAAGCATACATTCATGGTCATCTAATTTATGTAAACTAAGTATATATTTGTATTAATCACTTCTTGGCTATTAAGTCATCTTTTTTGGTGATCAGATCTAGTTAAATGAGGGAGTCATGGAATTTTCAGGAGAAATCTCTTAGTTCTCACACCTTCCTCCCATCAGGTCATTCCCAAGCTTCTCCTATACAAATTCTGGTGTCACCACTGAATTTGCCATGCAGGCCTGTATGCCATGTGTCCAGTTTTAGAAATGGAAAACACAATCAGATCATGAATGCCACAGGGCGGGGGGCGAGGTGGTGTCTTAATGTCAATCTGAGAACCAGAAACTCTCACTTTCTTCTTCAGAGGCACGTGACGCAGGTGAGGGTGTGAGGTGTGTCCTGGGAGAGACAGGATGTGGGAAGTGGCAGAAGGGGCAGCAGGGTCCGAATGTGAATCAGATTTCTTCTTCCAGTTCTGAAGCTGGGATGCAGGACAGGAGCTCTGGAGTGACAGCTTAGGAGCAGGTGGGATGGTTCGGAATGGGAGCCTCCTCTCTCCCCAGATGCTGGCCTATTTGAAACTCTGATGCAGGGTTGGTTTAGAATCAGATCAGTTCTATCAAATGACCAGTCACTGACTTGAGAAACAGGACTGTATTTTGCCAGCTTTAAAAAAGACGAAGGGAGTGAGGAGTAGGCAGTTTACTTGCTCTTGAGTAGAAATAGCTGTGCATTTCTTGCCCCTTTGTTGATGAAAATTGTGGAAGATGCTACAGGAGAATTTGACTTTAAAATCCTTTGATAGACTGTTACTTTGGTGATCCCAGTGAATCACACCTCTGGACAATTATGTCCTCTGTCATCCTCTTTCCTGGGGTCTAGGCTGGCTTTGTAACCCATAGAATGTGCTGGAAGTGCCACTGTGCCTATTCTAGGCTGTGCTTTCAGGACCCTGGCAGCTTCCTTTTTTTGCATTGGGGGGCAGCCAGCTGCTATGTAAGAAGTCAGGCCGCAGAGAAGGAAGGAAAATATCTGTGATCACCATTTTGGAAGGAAGACCAAACTAAGCACATGGAGTTTCCCTGTGGAGGAGGAAGCCACCCCACAGTGAAGTCTGGGGCCCAGACATTGGTCACAGCTGGCTCTTCTAGTCCAGTTGCTGCGCTCCCCAGTCTATCACCACATGAGGAAGAGACAAGCTGGTTCTCTATCCTGACCCAGACTGTAGAATGTGAGCAAGTAACTAGATAACTGTTGTCCTCAGTTGCTGACTTTTGGATAACCTGTCACTCAGCAATGACTAACCAAAAACGATTCCATATTAATATTTTCTTTTGGACAGTTTTGTTTTGCTCTTAGTAAGTCCTCTTTGAGACTGTACTCTAGAAAGTCAGGTTATCACAGAATTCAGTGGTGAAAGCAAGGGTACAGGTCTTGCTTTTCTTTTTGTTGCTCACTGTATGCATCACAAGGGCCTAGCACCTATCAGGTGATTAAGAAACATTTCTGAATGACTAACTTGGTTGCAAATTGTGGAGGGAATAAAATCTGAACTCTGGTTTACCATTCTGGGCTCTCAGCCATGGGCTCACACTCTTCCTTGGCAACTTTTTCTTCTGTTCCTGTCTTTGCTTCAGTCAAGTTTGACTCCTCTCTCTTCCCTACACACTTCTTCATTTGCAACATCTCCTTGCTTTAACTCTGTTCTTTCCACTTTGAATCCCCACCTCCCCCAACACACCCAGACACACTCACCTGTGTGTGCACATGCACACACATATATACACACATGCACACACACTTCACACGTATCCCTTACCCACACTTCAAGGCCTAGGTCAAATGCCCTCAGTCAAGGAAAAACTTGCATTTCTGAATTCCCAGAACATTCTAGCAATCTTATGCCACTTAACATGTTTTATCTCATCTGATTTTTTTTTACCTACATGTCTTTTTTTTTTCCTGTTAGATTGAAGCTGCTGAAGGCAGGATCCTATCTTGTATATCTTTGTATCTCCCACATGACCTCAAAGGTACTCAGTAAGTGCTCAGCAAATGAATTGGGGAGAAAAGAGTCAGAAAGTCATCTGAACCTATTACTTTGGGAGGAGTCCATTATGCAAACGAGGGTCATCGGTCTCTCTTTATAATTGATCTGCAGGTTACTTTTATGCTGTGTATTCAAAGTTTGTCTTTCCCCATGAAGTGCCAGTTCATTTGAATGCCACCCTAAGGGTATGATTTGACATCTCCTTTTTAACACTAGATAAATGTTGAATGAATGAAAGAAAAAAATTAGGATTGTCAAGTGCTACCATGCTAAGTGCTCCCTGGAGAAACATAAAAATCTGGGTGCCTGTTTCAGTCCCCTCAGAAGGTGGGTCTCTCTTCAAGGGAGGGAGAGAGGATAGGAAGACACAGAAGGAGAAGCTACCAGAGTGATCAGTATGGGCAACTTGTGTGAACGGAATCCCTCAGGCTCCCAGACAGTAGCGGCATTAATTGAGGGAATGTTTCACATGTTATAAGACACAAAGGGGTGTGTTTTCTAAGGAGAGAGAAAGCTGCTATATGGGATAGCCCAGCAGATGGTGTAAATTAAGTGGGTAACTATCTGTGCTTGTCTGCATTTTCTGGGTTTCCAGCAAGAGGCAGGGATTACTTTTATAATCATAACATACATGCAGACATGCTCCTTTAAAACGAAAGTCAAATGCTTATCCATGTGTAAAGCCATGTGCTTCGGGAAGTCTGTTTACTCCCAGTAATGTGTCCTTGCCTTTCCTTTTGTGATATTTTTGTTTTAACCTGTTGATGACATAACTGGTTGATGACTAATAAAGTGACTTATGGTTGATTATCAGTTTATTTATGTTATTGGATTTACATTCTTTCCTCTGACCTTAGGGTGAGCCTTTTGTTCCCCTTTTATGTGCTAAATGTTCTTAGGCAAACCTAAGTAAATGGGTGGATGCAGCCCAATTTACTGAGCTGAGATGGCTTGATACGCAAAGGCTCCAGTTTTTTACCAAATTAATCACAGACCCCAAACCTGACATATAAGATTCTTCATGACAGCCTTCGATCTATAATTTCCCTTGACTCTTCCTATTCTTCCTGTAACCGAACTCAACAGATCTGTTCACTTGGTGGGCCAAATGAAGAGGCAGGTGCACAGATAGAGGTGGAAATATGTTAACTCCAGATTTATATGACTAGATGACTGAAACTTAGTAAAAAAAAACAATAATAATAAAATAAAAAACAAATAAAAGACACTGCCAAGATGCAATGAATAAAGAACTTATCTTTCCTTATGACAAGATAAGTAGACAGCAAAAGTAACATTTCCAAAGACGCTGTTTGGCAGAGGGACAGTGAGGTGAAGCTTGTGTTGTTTGGTGCAGGAGGGTCTGCAGAAGTGCCTTGTTCCCAGTGCTGGTCTCCACTCCTTGCACCAGCCTCGACAGTCAGTCCTTCTCTTCAACAGGGAGATCTGCACAAAAACCTACCTTCAGGAAAACATGCAAGTTTGTCATGTATGTGATTTTTAAATCTCATCTAGGTTTTATTTTTGAGCTAGAAGCTAATATACAAGGTGACCTGAGCCAATAGGGATCATTTTCTTAACTCTTATTAGCCCCATGCTCACATGACTGCCTACAAGATCCACCTTCCATTTCCTTGTCTCTATCCATCATTCCCTGGACTGATTCCAAATGCCCTTCTCGAGCTAGAACACAGCAGTTGGGAGGAACTGGACCTAGACTTGAGCTCCCCTGGCTGGGATTCTGGCTGGCCCACTTGCCCATGTGACCCTGGGTAAGTCAGTCCACCAAAGCATGGTTTGCTCCTCTGTGAAATAGCCATAACAATCCAGCTTGTAGAGTCACTGTGTTACAAAGATTCAACTAGGTAGCACTGAACACGTGTCCCGGAGCTTGGCACATAGAAGCTGCTCCAGAAATGTTAGATAATTTTGCTCCACAGTCTCAGCCACTCTCTAGATTTTGTTTCTTCTCTTCTTGAAATCGCTCGGATCGTCCATTCTGGCTTGTGGTTTTTGGAATTTGAGTGCCATTTTGATCCCCACCAATAAATGTCCTAGGACGCAACTCTGCATCCTTGCTGGAGGCAAATCTGCATCCGGGCCCTCAAGTCTGTAGTTTTGAGCCTTGTGCACCATGGGTGCTCAATACAGAGAGACTGACTTTTTTGAATTGCAAATGCTGGTGCCTTGACCCTGCATGAATCTGAGCCCAATATGTTTTAATAAGAAGGGGAATCACAACTGAGTAACAATAGTCAGCTGTTGTTTCCCTGGACTCTTATAGGGGTGTTGTAAATGCTCAGAGCAGGAGCAATGCCTCCTTATGCTCCTGAGATGGCTTAAATGGGCTCTGTTCATTCTGTCCTAATAGCCTAACAGCTCCATTAATAATTCTGTGTTGTATCTTTTGGGTGATCTCTTGTTAATAATTAACACCCCACCTTCTGTTTCTGAGTGTGGTGCTATAATCATGTTCCTTTCAAACTGCAGCACTTTGCAAATGTTAACCAGGTAATGGCCCAAATGTCTCCCTGCAAGAAGAAAATGTTTTTCAGCTATGTAGATCAGAGAGTTAAAATGTCATTTCCTTAGCCACGCAGCTAGAGGCACAGGCCTCTGCCATAGCAGAAATGTGCTCAGAAAACCAAAGCTTCAACATGTGAGCATGGGCTGCATCAGCAGATGTGGCCTCCAAGGAGAAGGAGAGGAAGGAGCTCGTTGCCCAGATGTGACATCGTGTGTGCTAGAAGGATACGAGATTGGGCGTCATGGGACCTGGCTTTGTACCCTGCCTGCTAGCTGGTTATTATCGGCAAGTCACATAAACTCTCAGAGCCACAGTTTCTTCATCTGTAAAATGGAGGGGAAGCTTCCCCGGGCAAGGGATCCTGATGAACACACGAGACGATTGTGTTAGCTGTAAAATGCTGCTCTGAGATGAAGGGTTCTTATTTACATGGTGGCCACTTACGATTGGAGCTTATTGATACAAGGGGAAGGAGGAAGGGGGAAGATTGAAGGGGACGGTAATTAACACAGACTCCAACTTCAAATGTAGAACCAATTTGAATGGAGTCACTTAGGTCAAAGACAAAATGAAGACAGTCACTACAGGCACTTAAAGGAAATTAGCACCACCTTACAGGAAGTGTACAGCTCTTCTCAGAAATCAGCAGAGGACATCGGCCAGTCTCCAAGGGCCAGGTCTGTTCATGCCATTCCTGGACTTCCTTGCTCCCTTGACTCTGCTCCAGATAAGAAAGACCACTAGACAACCCATCAGCCGGGAGAAAAAGCCCTAATAACAACTGTATTTTATCATAAAAACCCTGAATTTGTGAGCAATTCAGGACTCCTGGCTCTCACAGCTGGAGGTACCCAGCTTGCTGGTCAGACCCCTTGCAATAAAGTCAACTTTCTGCTTTGTTCTATCCTGAGTGCAGGTTGTTTTTTCACAAATGTAACAAACAATTGATAAGTAGAAACCTTGAAAATATAAAATCAGAGCCTCCCTGGTGGCGCAAGGGGTTAAGACACAAACTATGAAGCTATCTGCAGTCACTGTGGCATGAGTTCAATCCCTGGCCAGGGAGATCCCTGCATGGTGCAGCAGACCTCTCCTGACTCACCCGCTGCTCCCCTCAGCAGTGTATTTCAATCTGCCTGTTCTGTTCCACACTCTGTCTCTGGTGAATCCTCTCACACCACCCTCCCAACACCTCTGGCCTGTACCCCAGCTCTTGTATGCATAAATAAATAATCTTTAAAAAACATATATAAAATCAGTAAAATGAGGTCTGGCACATTGTTTTACATCAGGATGCTTTTCCAAATGACAGACACCCTTGTGGAATAAAGTTCAGTTTATGAGTTTAATATGTATCTATTTTGTACAATTAAATCACACACACACACACTTTTTGGGTATAATAGGAAGAAAAAAATTCAGATTTGGTGGAAAACTAGCACTCTTCCTTTGGCTTTCTCTAACACGGAGTCAAGTTTAATTCAAGATATTTATGAGTCTGCTGGGGAAATGAAAATGTTAATCTGTTTGGATTTAAATCTGCTAGAGTGACAGTTAACTTACATTATAAGTCAGAGAAGAGTAAACCCAGGTTTTCTGAGGAGCAAGAAAGTCTACACAAATGTGCAGAGTACAGGATTAATTCAAACCAATAAAGTCGTTTACAATTTCAGAGAGCAAGTTCAATTACCTATGCAAAATTTTATGACTTAAGAAAACAAACAGTAGTACAATTTCCTCTGCAACACATGATTTACTTGTTTAGATGGCTAACCTATAAAATTTGTAAGTGTACTTCTCTTTAACTATCAGTAAACAAAGAAAGAATTTTATCACGTGGACACTGGTATATGCACAGTTAAATTGGTTTAACCTTTAAAGACCTTTGCCCTATCTGGATCTGTGTTTATACCTGGACCTAATCTGTTCTTATCTTTCCCAAGAAAAGTAATAGCTGACCCAGCACTTTGAATTTTATAGATCTTTTTATTTTTATTAAATATCAATATGATTTAAACTTACGTGTCAATAAGTGAAATCTGCCTGAGAGATCCAAGCCTATAACTTGTGGTTTCACCAACAATGACGCAAGATTATCCCCAGCAGGCTCTAAGGAAGGTGTTCCTTTCTTGGACTGTGAAGGAAGCCATGTCTGCGGAGGTCAGGTTACACTCTGGGAAGGGGCATTGGAATCTTACACCCTGTGCTTCGAAGTATTTCTGTTTCAGGCCCCTGGAACATGGTCCTTGTGGGTGCTATGGGTTAACTTGGCACTGTTTGTTATCCTCCAGTTGTTGACACCACAAAGCTGTGGCCAGCCAATACCCTGCTTATAAAATCCCAACCAACCAAAACCCTGCTTCTCCACTATCCTGGTGATCAACCTTGACTGTTCCCCGGCCAGGCGTGTGGGTTCAGGGCATCTGTCACCCTGTCGCTATTGTGTGACCTGCAATAAATTTTCCTCCCTTGAAACCAGTTATTGGCTCTTTCAACTTTTGTGTGGGGTTCATTGGTGAAAGCCACACAGAGAACGTTCAGAATCAGTAACATTTCTAGAACCAGAGCCAGGGGGTGTCACATATGACTGGCAGTCAGCTTAGGGCAGAGGGTGGAGCTTCAGGTCAGCTTCCACTTCCTAAGTTCTTTAGATGCCAGCAGTTACTAGTGATCTTCCAGCCAATGAAAGCAACCGTCAATGGTTTGTTTTGGGTGTTCATGAAACAATCATTAAACATAAATAACAAACTGGCAACCCCTTGCCTCTTTTCTTGCTCCACCCCTCTCTCTTCTTCCTGGCTCTCCTGGGTGGGACAAATAAAGTTTATGTGATTTCTGATACTTGCAGAAAGGGGTGGTCAGCAAGACATCACAGGGGGCTTATCCTAAGGGCAGGTTTGGCTAGGCTGGGATTTTCCTGCCAGATATGTTTGGTGAAGTGCTAGAAATTATTTCTGCTCTTAAAACTTAGCTCCTCCCACCATTTTATGAACATTAACCACCCCCAGGGGCCCATCAGTCTCATTTCCTTGTTCTTTTGGAAAACAACCCTTCGTTGGGGCAAGCTCTGTTTGTGAAACTTTATTACACAGGTTAGTCTGCACACTCTTCTGCTGGGTGACAAACTATTGCCCGTAGCCAGTCCCTGCAGGTTTGAAGGTTACCCAGAGAACTCCAAGGACCTCCTGTTGCCCTGCTCCTTCTGGAACTATTAAACAACACGAATTGTATTAAGACAGGCCCAAAATCCGTGAGGAGGGCTAAATGTGTGCCCTTCCGCTGCCTCTTTGCCATTTCTTACCAAATTGAAGCATATTTCTCAGATAGATCTCAATATTCCTCAGATAGACCTCAATATTCTTGAATAAAGTCTATGGGGTAATGAGTATGTGTGTGTGTGTTCAACATATTTGGGTAACTGCAGAGAGAGAAACTCTTCCAAATCATCAAGGAGTCAGCCTGTATCTCAGAGAGTGCTTGAAAATTCAGTGGAGTTTTTTTTTTAATTTAAAAATTATCTAGTTTATTTAATAGTTTAATAGTAATTTAATTTCAATAGTATACAAAATCTTTGTTAGTGGACTTTTTTTTAAACCACCTCCGTCCTCTCATAATAAATAGCCTACTAGTCAGGCTCCTTATTATTTTTCCCTCCTTTTCTCTTTTTTCTGAGGCATTTATAATCTGACTCCAACTTCTGGGCTCTAGAAATAAATCTCTCCTTCAAGCTACCATGACATTCTTAAGAATTCAGGACTCTAAGAGATGAACAAGGCCTTTTGATCTCTTCGAGAAGATGTTCTATATTCAGAACTGCTGATCTTTTCCTGGGAACCCCACTTGGATGTGCTATTGAAGATTCTGCTCATCTGACTGGCCTGGTGTGAGCCACTGTCTCTGCTTTAGCTGCTGCAAAATGTTCACTGGAAAGGCGGGGCTCTGTGTGTGAGCAGTGATGCCAGCCAGAGGCAGCCCCCCTCCTCCTGATGGAGAGGGAAGCCTCTTGACACTCATTTCTCTGTACCTCCCTGCAACAACCCTTGCCACTTCTTCCTCCTGGGCACCAGGGGCCCTGAGTCTTGGTATTGCTACCTCTTGCTGCCCTCTGCCTACTGCTGTACACCATGGATCCAGAAGGGGAATTTCTAGCATGGGGATCCTGAGCCAAGTGGGAGGACCCCATGTGAACCTCCTCTGTTGACCTGCCTTGACTTTTCTCTATTTCAATCATTAATCATTAGTTCCATATCTTGTTTCCTTAGGGCCCTGACCTCCAAGGAGGCAGAGCTGTGGGATAATGACACACGGGTGGTGACTGTGCAGTAGCGTCCTCAGGGGGGCTTTCTTTATAGGCTAGGCCTCCAGGAAGTGCTGCCCAGCGCAGCCACTGGAGGATCTGATCATGGCTAGTCTGACATCTGCTGTGCCCTAAACATAAATACAGAATTGAATTTCGAATACCTAGTATTAAAAATGAATATAAAATATATCAATAATGTTTCATATTGATAATTTTTTGAAATGACAGTATTTAAAATACATTGGGTTAAATAAAAGGTATTCTACACCATTTCATTGCTTCCTTTTTACTGTGTCTTAATAGGGTTTCAAGAAAATTGTAAGTGGTGCAGTTCATGCTGGGGCTCACATTCTATTTTTCTTGGGCTGTGCTATGCTAGGAATGCTCACATCAGGTAGGTGGGGAGAAGGTTTTGAACCAAGGGCAATGCCCAGAAAGCATATTGGTTTTTGCAATGCTCACTTGCTCCTGCTCAGAATAAGGGTGGTTCTGATGGGTAGTGAGCAGGTTGAGCTACTCCAGCAGCTCCCTGCAGGGATTGAGCAAGGAAGAAGGTAGGAAGAAGTAAAAGACAAAGTTAGCCATTGGCAGGGGCAAAAATGCCTGAACCTGGATGAGATAGCCTGAGTCTGGGCTCATGGTAGCCCCAACAGGCTCTAAGTCAGAACTAGTAGGGCAAGAAAAGACCTAAAAGCTCAATTTATATGTCTCTCTGCCTCAGGGAAATGCCAGCTAAGTCTTTTTTGGCAGCTGGGGGGATAGAACTAGGTGGAGGCATGGGTGCCCTTGGCGGTAGCTCTGACCTTGGACAAGTCACCAGGCTCCATTTTGCTGATTTTAAATTGAGAGAGGTGCATTAGATATAGGACCCCTCTGACACTGCCTTCATTATGCTCTCACCTATCCGCAACTTTAACACTCTTGATTGTGTTTGCCCTCCAGGCAGAGTGACCCAGCACCCCAGTCTGCCTGTGTCATGGGACTTCCAGGGCTAAACTGGGACACTGCTGGGCCAACGGGATGGTTGGTCCTGCTGTCTCCACGGGCAGAGCTGGGACTAGAAATGAAATCGTTTTGAATGTGTGTGTGTTTGTGTGTTTATGTGTGCTTGTGAAATGGTGGAAGCGAGTGTATCTGGGAAAGGATTCGTGGGGGAGCTCAGGAATGAGACCACCCCCTTTTGGCTTCCCCAGCCTCCTCTGGAGCAGCAGCTGTCCCAGAATGATTGAGGGGCCCACAGGCTGGGAGAGATAGTGAGAGGCAATGAGATGCCTCTCAGCCTTCAGCTGCTATCCGGAGCCCAGAAGGGCAAGGCCTTGCCAGGGTTGCTGGGAGCCTCAGCCCTCCCACTTATTGTGTGGGAGGAGATTATAAGAAATAGAAGATCTGCTCCTGTAAGCTCCCTTCTTAAATAGCATCATTCTAGAACCTAGACTATCGTAGGTACGTGTGAAAGTGGGCATAATCACTGTGAGTAAATGATCATCTCCACTCAGCCCTCTCTCCTTAATAGCACACTTTCCTTAGCCTGTTGCCACAGTACCCAGTGGGGACAGCCTCCATGCCCATCAACCACTGTGGCTGAGTCCCCAAGTCCCAGGCCAGAGCACCATCTGGTAGAGTGCTTTCCAG